TCTCTGTCTGTAATTAATACGTTTTAAGTTTTCTTTTTCCTCTACACATAGCTAATAACTTGACCATTCAGGTTGACAGTCCTAAACCACAATCTACAAAAATTATTTATTTATTAATTCGAAAATATAGGAATTTTCCATCATTAAAGAAAAATCAGCTTATTTGACTTAACAACTGTCAATAAACAAACACAACTAAACCATTCAAAACCATATCAGCACATCACATTTGATCATTTTAATAGAAAAACAAAGGTTTTCCCTAATGTGTCTCAGTCAATACATTATGTTTTCAGAGTGGATTCTGATGAAGCTCTCAAAGAAGCATCTCTTTAAATAGCTCTAGAGCTAATGGAGAATTTGCTGCTAATTGTCCATTATCACCACATTTCACTGTAATTTAATCTATTTAGATAAGAATGGTTGTGTGCGTATTGCACCAGAATTAAACGTTATTCTTATTCAAAGAAATGGTATAAAGTTTTTATAAAGATTTGTACCACAGAGCAAATGATGAATCATGCGAAAAGTTTTTCTTCAATTGTTAAATTTGTTCAAAGCACACCTATGATTCGCTTGCTTAATTTTTCATAGTTAAAGGTGCATAAAATGGAAAAATTCTAATTCTATTCAAAATGGAGGAATCAGCATCTGATGTCAGCAGTATCAGTTTTAATACTTAAGCTGAACAGCCAGAAACATCTTTAATCATACACCTATCGGTTAGTTATATTTTAACATTTAACCCTTGGCTGTAAACTCTTCACTTCTATGGTTCACATTTGTCTTAAAAGCTGGTTACAGTACCAGTGCATTTTATGTTCCAGGTTTCATAAGCACACGAAAGTCACTGATTTGTGTAAAAGACGGAAGATGTGTTAAAAAAAAAAACTCCCTACAGCTATATTCATGTGCTGCTGTGACAAACTGTTTCCTAGTGTGCAGCAGCATCACTGAAAATTGGAAAATCCCCCTTTGACACCAAACCCTCCTCCTCTCCCTCTTCCCACAGTGCTGTGAAACTGAAGTCAAGGCATCCATCGACACTGGCAGTCTACACAACCACATTTCCACCTCCTGCTGCCAGAGGCTGGGGTAAGAAACATTCAGCTTAAAAAGAAAAAAATCAAACACACACACGCAACTTTTATCACATCACTTCATTTCTTTCAGAACACACAAACACACCTCTACAAGGTCAAATTCTAATAAAATTAGCTTTTAAATTGGCCTAAATAATAATTTTTTGAAGATCTTATTTAAGGTAATGCTTTTATATAATGGTGATTGTATTTAGTGGCAACCCAGGATTAAAATATTAGCAGGTAAAAGATCTGTTTGTTAAATAATCAGACCTCTTGCCCTTGGCTGTGCTTAGAAATCCTGTCCATAAAGGTAATAAATGGGACAAGGAACAAGGGCAGCCCTGCCAGGGTCCAACATGTGTCCGAAACTAGTTCACTTAATGCCGGCAATGTGAACCAGACTCTTGCTGCACTTGTTTAGAAACCGGATGGCCCCTAGAGAAAGGCCCTCCCAATGCCTTAATCCTGTAGTGCTCCCCACAGAACATTGGGGAAATGGTCAAAGGCCTTCTACAGGTCCACAAAGGACATGTGGATCTGGGTAAAATCCTATTATCCTTATGCACCAAGCAGAGGTTGTAGACTTGGTCCCAGCTGTGGGACAAAAAAAAAACCAGTTCTCCTAAAGCACAAATCCACCATTCAGCAGGATTCATCTCTCAAGCACCCGGGCAAATGTTTTCTTGGAAAGGCTGAGAAGTGTGATACCACTGTAGTTGGAATATACCTTCTGCCCCCCCCCTCTCTCTTGTGGAAGGGGAACCACTATCCTGGTCTGCTGGTCCAGGGGCACTGTCCTGGACCGCCCCCTAAGAGGCATGTATACCACAACAGCCAAATTAAATCCAGAGCCCTATCGTATTCAGGGTGGATCTCATCCATCTTCTCTATTCTGGAGTGTTTTACCATCTCTGGGACTTTAGAAAGTGTGATTACCAAGCCCGGCTCCAAGTACCAAGTCTCCAGGGTTGAGCTGATCCTCAAAGCATTTCTTCAACTGTCGGACAATGTTAATTTCAGCAGCTCCCTTGATTCCTCCTAAAGATTCCTTGCAAAGCAGACTTCCAGAGATACCAGACAGGTAGCAAAACCTGCTTTGAAGGCAGCCAATATGTTTTATTTTCTCCATGGTCTATCCTGAGTTTTTGCCTCCTCAACTGCAAAGGCATCAGGATGCTTGGCCTCACAGTACCTGTTTGCAGCCTCAGTGGCTCCATAAGCCAACTTGGTACAATAATACTCCCTCTTCAGCTTGACAATGGCTGCGTTCGACTTTATGGGATGCCTCCTCTGAAGGCCAGATTTAAAGACCACTTACGTCATAGCTTGGCGCCGAGGTCTGGTTGGATTCCAAAACTCTTCATTATGCGGCCTACAAATGCATCCGTCTTTTTGCTCGATTTGAAGGACGGGTCCGATGTATCCTATCTATCCTTAGACATCCCAGGATTCATTGCGAGACCAAGCAAGCCGGGTGTTGGGTTCATAAATGTAGGTTTGCAAAAGAAGAACTGAAATACACAATAAGGGATTTATCATACGGCTTCTGCAGAAGGCGAGACAGTTGAACCCCAGACTCAAACACACTGTCTCACATCGGACCTCCTCTGCAGAGCGTTTTATTAACAGAACATGACACATGGTTACAAACAGTATTGTTCTGACAGAACAATTGATCAGTTCATAAAGACAGGACGCTCCACTAGAATGACAAGGCAGGATGGTCCCCCTACTGAATCATGAGACAGCAGTGGAGCATCTCATTTCTACAATGTTTCATATGAACACACATTACTTTAATAATCATTATTGAATAAAATTAACACCAGGTGCTCCATTGATCAGAGGAAAAGGGTACGTAGCGCCGAACAGTGGTGAACATTAAGATTATCGGAGCACCTAACCAAACATTCAATTCAATTCAATGTGGTTCACTTATATTTTAAATTTCTCCAAGCAAGGTCTGTTACCACTAGACCCCCCCCCCCCCGAATAAAACAAAATATAAAAAAAAAGCCTAATATTTTTTCTAGATGAAAAGTTTTTATCAATCCAGTTAATTGTAATGGTGTTTCTGATTTTAGATGTGTTCTAAAGTACTAAGTTTTTGTTGGAATAATGTGAAATTTACATTTCTTTAAAACACAATAGAAATGCCACTTAAGATTTTATTTTAAAACTTTTTAGACCCTAAAACATCTATCAGGGAAGCCACCGACTCAGTTCAACTTTTTTAACGTCGCCTAAATTGCAATCATGGCTTGTTTTTAAATCTATTGATTGATGCCTTTTATGCTAACAGTCTCAAAAATATAACATTGTTTTCTCTTTTTAATTTCAAATCCTCATTTATAGTAGCTTACAGACACATATTTTAAATACTTTTTACCAAATTGACTAATTAAAATTGATTAATATTGAGTCAATGTAAACTGAAGACCTTACATCTTTGGCTCTAAACATTCTGATTATTGATGTTTTTGTGAGGAATACTATGTGTGTGTTTTCCTAGACTGGTGCCTAGTAAGGACAGTTCACCATGTGGTGTTAGCAGCACAGTGACGGGTCTGCAGCTACAGCTGGGCAGACAGATGGTCCAGTGTTCAGCACATGTGAAAGGTAAGGACATCAGTCACTGAAGTGACATAAACCAGGTTGGAACCACTTTGAGGATTTGAACGCACTTTTGGCTTTTCATAGTATTCATTTAGACAAATTAAGATGTGGATTTACTATGAGAAAGTATGTACCCTTAAATATTTCCTCTGTTTCAGAACAATAAGATTTTAATATCAAAGATCCAAAGCAATCTGCATGGGAAAATCACAAATAAGCTGTAATTGACTGCATTCTTTAGCTTCATTTTAACTGTCACAGTCAGGTCTCATTACTGCTACCACAAACAATTAAGTGACACTTGGTATGTAACACATGATGCTCAATAGCCTGCAGTTTATTGGACATTATGCTGTTTAACTTAATGTTCTAGTTTCCACATAAATTTTAAGATCCTTCCGAAATTTAGCACAATTAACATTAATCCCACATCATCCTGGAGAGTTGCGGCCAAGTGGTTAGGACATAGAGCTTGGAATCAAAACCCACTTCCACAAACTGCCACTCTGGGTCTTTGACTAAGACCCCCGATTGCTCCCCGGGCACCCCACTAATAAGCCCACTGCTCTGCAAGGGTATGGGTTAAATGCAGAGGTAAATTTCTCCAATGTCAGATCAAAAAAATTCAATTATTATCAAAAATAGCATAATGTAGTCTACATCAGCAAAATAAACCAGTAGTGTTGTAGTCAAGACCACATCAACCAAAACCTAGACATTTTTTGAGACCAAGAAGTACGGAGTCCAAGAAGAAGCCAAGATATTTACAGGTGGAGACCAAGACAAGATCAAAACCACATACACTTTAAAGAAAAATAATATTTGTGTTTATTGAGACAGATCTCTCTTGTAAATGAGATCTTGGATCTCAATGAGACAACCTGTATAATTTGTAGGTTTCCTTTGTTTTTTTTTGTTTTTTTATTTAAGTTCGCTTTAAAATATATGCAATAAAAAATCTTTGTTTTTGTAAAAGCAACCAACTCTAAATCATATAAAACTGATTTCATTTCTTGAAAAAGGTCACGTTAACTGAACTAAGTCACAATAAACGTTTTATTTCAGAGAGAAAGAATGGATTAATAAAGAATAAGTACTGGTTAATTTAACACTAAGTCCCAGGGATTGTGAATCTTATCGTCTATCAAATACAAATTGGATGCAAAAAAAATGAAGAAAAAAATCAGTGTGATTCCCCCCAGAAGCAAAGCAGAGAACAGACTGTGCTAGTGCTGCGCATCAATTTGAAGTCACTGATGAGCAGCCGTTTTGCATAATAGTAGATATGGCAGATTGCAGCACAGTTGAATGTTTATGTGAATATTGTATGACTCCATCTACCCACTTATCTGTTTAGTTTTATTACTATGACAATAACTTAAAAAATACAGTGTAAATATGTTTCTGTGCATTTTTCTATTATCATTTTTAGTTTTTTTTTAAGTGGACTGTAAATATGTGAATCAGGCTGGCAGGTGGCTGCTGCAGCAGGAGGAATCATTACACTACTAATGATTGTAGTTTTTTTTTACTGTCTTTATGAGGGTCATCTTTTAAATGTTATCAGTAAAACCTGCCCTGCATGAGACTGAGACAAGATGCTGTTGAAACCAAGACGAGACAAAGAGCCCAAAACTCCAGACCAAGACCAATCTCGAGTAGTTAAAACACTATAAACCAGTTTCCCCTAAACAATTAGCTTAGCCTCATCTTCATTAAGCTGTTTCCAAATACAATCAAGTAATAAAATAAAGCCTATACCCTAATGTAGGTCAGCTGTTTTTGGA